TGGGAGCAGGGTTTCCAATTCCGATTTCTGAATTCAGCCTTGGAGATAGATCTGATCCGAGTGTCCCATTCTTGGGGCTCCATTGGCTCACATAGGAGCCAGTGCTCCAGGACCGTGATCCTGCCCCGAGCGGCACCATGCCATATCTGTGGTCGTCACACTGGGGGTGCTCTGGCATCGGGGGGGGGGGGGGCAGGGCACCCGCCAGAGATGATCCACCTGATGTCAACAGTGCTGAGGGGAGGGATCGTCCCCCAGACCTGTAGTTCTGAGACTCCTCCGAGGCCCACCAGGGCAGGGGACACAGCCCCTCTTCCCGCTGCTGGCCAGGTGAGATTCCAGCATCAGTGAGGGGACCTGCCCGTGGGAATTTGGCAGCTTCTGCCAAGTAGAAGGTCGCATCCGAGCCGTGGCAACGGGCCTTCGGTCATTGACGGGTGTCAGATTGGGCCCCTTCCACAATTTGTTCACTTGGGTTTCTGTTAAGTCCCCGTTTATTCTCAGTGGTATGTTCATAGTGATGAACAAGTGATGAGACTTGATACCGTTTGCCGGCTAGAAGCAGAGGAATCCCTGGCCGCCATTCCTGGTCACTTCAGGTGACTGCCTAGACCAGATCACATCAGGCCTTACCTCCTCTCCCTCCAGCTCCCAGGGCCCCCTGAGGGTCTCCTTCCCAGTGGCTGCGGGTTCCCCACCGCACAGTCGGGAGACGGCAGCGGCCGGGTGGGGTGGCTGGTTGGCCGTCCAGGGCGGGACTAAGGGGTGTGACTCCACAGGCCTGCGAAGGTGGAGCGAACCCGGAAGCGGTCAGAAGGGTTCCCGCCCGACCGGAAGGTGGAGAAGAAGAAAGGTGAGGGGCAGGTCGCTGGCGGGAGGCTAAGCCAACGAGGAGCGCGGTGCTGGGGCAGGTCCCCGGCCAGCTCTGACGAAGGGGTTGAGGGACTCGGTCAGGTGTAGGGGGCCAGGCCAGGCGGCCCCTTTGGCACTGCTCAGGCCCAGGTGCTGCATTCTCTCCTGGTCCCAGAACCTTCCGTGGAGGAGAAGCTGCAGAAGCTGCACAGTGAGATCAAGTTCGCCCTCAAAGTGGACAATCCGGTGAGGCCCTCGTTGCGGCACTGAGGCCACATCGCAGCCACTTCCTCTGAGCCAAGCAGCCCCCCCACCCCGACCCTCCTGTCTGGAGCTCCCTTAGAAGTCTCAGGAAACTGAGGCAAATCCAGGGTCATTGTTCTCCTGGGTGTCGGCCACAGAGGGCCCGGGTTGGCCGCCTCGGGTGCACTGCGTGGCATGACCACCAGGTGGTGCCAAGCAGCCCTCCAAGTGCTGCGACCCGACCGCCGTCCCTGGGGTTCCCTTGGCACTCCGTCCTCTGCCCAGGGAGCCCCATGGGGCCCCCAGGGCCCCTTCAGCTAGATGCTGTCCCTCCTTACTCCCCTCCCCACCCTGCAGGACGTGAAGAGGTGTCTGAATGCGTTAGAGGAGCTAGGGACCCTGCAGGTGACCTCACAGATCCTCCAGAAGAACACAGATGTGGTGGCCACACTGAAGAAGGTACGTGGGATCCCAGCAGTAGAAGGGGCTGGTGGCAGGCGAGGCGGGGGTCTGTCTGCCCAGGAAGCCTGGGTTCCCAGCCATGGCAGCCCTCAGTCCGGGAGGACGCCAGGGTGCTGGCGGGCCAGAGAGCCGGTGCTGCCAGGGGTGGCCGCGCTGGGGGCGGGTCTGTGGCGGGGGTGAGACCAGCCGCATCTCCTGAGCCAGGCCTCTTGCGGGCCAGATCCGCCGTTACAAGGCCAACAAGGAGGTGATGGAGAAGGCCGCAGAGGTCTACACCCGGCTCAAGTCTCGAGTCCTGGGACCAAAGATTGAGGCCGTCCAGAAGGCGACCAGAGCCGGGCTGGAGAAGGAGAGGGCCGAGGTGGAGAAGGCCGAGGAGGTGCTGGCCGGAGAGGAGGCTCCCACGGAGAGGGCGGAGGTCGAGGCGAGCACTGGTGAGCAGCGTAGGACCTCCCTGGGCCTCAGGCGCCAACCCCCAGGGCCAAAGTGGCACGTTTCTGCTGGCACTCTGCATGCCTGGCTGTGTCCCCAAGGTCGCCAGGGCCTGGTGCGTGCACATACCTGAGCTGCTCATAGATGCTCAGAGCCAGACAGCGCGGGAGGCGGGGTACGTGTGTGCGGGCCGCGTGTGGGAGCGCTGCTGGGACAGGCCTGGGGTTGGAGAAAGAGGGTGTTTCCCACAGGGTCAGTGGCCCTGGTCCCTGTCTAACGGGAGGATGGTCCTTCCTCCTGGGGTCATGTGATGCCCATGGAGCTGCGAGAGGTGTTCCGCTGAAGCCTCAGCAGCCTGCAGGGGACACCGCCTTATTTCTGTCCGCAGGCTTCTCCCGCATTACCCATGGCCACTCATTAACTGGCTTCTCCCTCTTTAGGCTTTTGTGCGCCTGGCTGACTGGGAGGCATAGGGGTGGGAGGATGTGGGTGCAGAGGACCAGAGCCCTTGAGGCAGGTGGCGGCTCCTTTAGGGCTCCTGGCCCCAAACCAGCGGGCGCGGCTACAGGATCGCATGAGCCTTTCTCCCGCCAGATCTCTCAGCCCCGGTGAATGGCGAGGCCATGTCCCAGAAGGGGGAGAGCGTGGAAGACAAGGAGCAGGAGGAAGGACAGAATTCCGAGGAGGGGCCGGGGTGTGGCTCCTCCGAAGAGCCATTACACAGCGAGTGAGTATCGCCACGGCTGCAGCCGTCCTCCTGACGAGGCCTCCGCTCCGTGGGCTGCTTGTTCTGGTGATAACACAGGGACTTGTCCCACACGCCGGCCTCCCACCCCCACCTTTGGCGCTGACCCTCAGGTGCCCCATCGAGGGAGCTCCGCAGCCCTGAGCTGCTCTGGGCCCAGCCCCTGGGAGGCTGGCTTCCTCCTGGTGTGTAGGAGCGGGCGCAGCAGGCTGCTTGACGCTGACGTTGCCACGCTAAGGACCCTGGGCCTGCCTAGGCTTGGCAGGGCCTGTCGGGTCCGGCTGGGGCAGCGTTGGGGGGCTCTGGCTACAGGCTGCACTCCTGGGCGCTGGGTCTCCGCTGGCAGTGGAAGGCCGGAGTGCTCACCCCCACCCACTTGTGTTCCCACCAGCAGCGCGCGGGAGGGCCCCGAGCTGGACGTGCCTGGGAAGGAGCGGCGGGAGCGCGCGAGGGGGCGGATGGACTCGGAGTCCCTGGATGAGGAGGACAGCTGAGCCCTGGTGGCCAGGCCTACCTGTCGCACGTAGATGCCCCAGGCCTGCCCCGGCCCCCACCCACCACCCGCGGAGCAGAGCTGTTGGGGAAGCACCGTGCTGTCCCTTTGTATCTGTCCCCTGGGTTGTTTTTCTGCCTAACTTCTGTGATTTCCAACAAACATGAAATGACTATAAAGGGTTTTTTTTAATGAAAGTCATTTTTATTGGTTCGGTTTTCTAGGGTTGCTGGTGCAACTGTCCAGGGACAGAAGGTTTAAGCCACAAAGTCACCGTTCACAGCAAATGTGAACTCGGTTCTGACACTGTCCCTGCCCGGCATGGGCCGGCAGAGCCGCGGTGAAGGAGAGGGGAGGTGGGAGGCCGTTTTAGACGTAACGAAGGCTCAGGCGGAGGCTGTGGTCTGATTCTCGCGTGCGGCAGCCCAGGGCCCAGACACTCTCGCAGGGCCTTGCTCCCCGTTCCTGCTCCTAGCCGGGCTGCCAGTGAGACCCGGGTCCCCCGCAGCAGCCGCTTGGGGCGCTGAAGCCATTCAGGGTTCGGGGGTTGCTGTGGGCTAGCCGTTGTCCTTGATGTTCAGAGGGTGTAAGCGTTGGGGGGCAGGCCTTGTTCCGTGACCTTGGACAAGTGTCCCTCCCGCTCTGGGCTTCACGTTCCTCACCTGTAAAGTGACCCCAGGCTCCCAGGGCCGGCACAGGGATTTGGACAGTGTGTGCAGTCCCGGCCCAGGCACCTGCATCAGCAGTGGCGGCCACTGTGTGTCCTCCGCCCCGCCCCGGTCAGGTGCCTCCGTCTCAGCCAAGGCCGTGGTGGGTGTGGGACTTCCGAGCCTGGCGACCCTCCATGTGGGCTGGCTGGGTTGAAGCTGCAGTGACAGCTCAGTTTGCACGAATGGCTGTGCACCCAGCGCCTCTGCCTGTGACGGAGACTGAGGAGGGACAGGCCCGAGGGGCTTCCTGACCCGTCACACAGGTCTCACCATGGCTGGGAGCCAACGGTGACCCTTTGGGGAAGGCTGGCCTCGTGTCCTGAGCTTGCAACACCCCATTGTTTCTGAGAAGGGGCTGGTATGAGGGCGCCTCAAGCCTTCCTTGAGGGAGGGAGCCCGATGGGGGTTGTGGGTGGGATACAGGTTCCCGGAAGCGGGGGCCTGCTTGGCTGGGCTCCCCCCAGCTGGAGGACAGGGGAGGCCCAGTGAAGGGAAGCCTCAGCTTCCCCACGTGCCACCCACCTTGTGTGGCTGCCCTGGGCATTTAGGGACAGTGTGGCCGGGAAGGAGGGGACCCTGCATGCTTCCCAGCCCCTGTTCTCCAGCCTGGGGTGGGCGTGGGACCGCGTTGAGCACATTTTGTCATATACCCCCAGGGCCCCATACCCCACGGGGGAGCCCCCTCACTTCTTCCTCAGCCCAGGCCCTTGGGGACCACAAAACATCAGCTCTGGGGTGGGTGGTCCCCCATCCTGGCCAGCGCGGCTGTTGCGGCTGCTGCGGCTTCACCCTCTCAGAGCCCCTTGGCCGCACTGGACGTCAGGAGAGACGGTAGGAGCCTGCGCAGGTGACAGTAGCATTCTGGTTCCTTCTGGTACGGGGAACACGGTTTGCTGAGGGCCGGGTGTGTGCTTCTGGAGTGAGGACGGGGCTCCGGGAGCCCAGGGTGGAGGAGCACCAGCTACACCGGTAGCTAAAGGACCCAGGTTGGGGTGCCCCAGAGATAAAGGGGCGCCTAGTGGAGACTGCTGAGTGGACCTGGGGATGTTTCCACTTCTCCTAATCGGAGGGCTTGCTTGAGACCGTCCGGGGAAGGCCCTCTGTCAGCCGTCTGCGCAGCCCGGGGCGCCTAGGCCAGGAGAAGGCCCGGCGGTGCTTGGGAAGAAAGGGTGGACGGCATAGGCGGGGCCAGAGCTGGGTGCGTGGCATGGCCAGACTCAAAAGCCCTCCGTGCCCCCGTGGGTGCCAAGCAGCACCAGCTGGCAGAGTCCAGACCTTCGGGGAGTTGGGAGCTGGTTTGGGGCTGGGGAGAAGGCTCTACAGAGGGCTCTGTGGGCAGGAGGGACCTACAGCTGCTGCCCAGTGGGGTGCAGGGCAAAGGGCCCCACGAGCCAGCAGAGCGGCGGGCCGTGCTGCACACTCTCCAGCATCTGCTCCAGCTCCCGCCAGGCTTGGCCCACCGCCCCGCGGCTCTGGGCCAGGCGCTCTGCCGGCAGCTCTCCCACGGAACTGGCCGAGGAGACGAGGCCGTAGAGCTCACAGAGGCCGTGGCGCGCCCGCCCAACCTGCTGCTGGAGCTCAGAGGGGAGGCCCTGGAGGCTGGAGGCCAGGGTGCTGTAGGCCACGTGCAGCTGCTGGATGAGGCCGCAGGCCCTGGACAGAGCCCTGGAGTCCAGCACCTGCGGGGGAGGTAGGGGTGAGGTAAGTAGGGGTTGAAGAAGAGCGGGGGCCGTGCCCCTTTCTTACATACCTCTTGGGGAGCACCTTCCTCCACTCTGCTGCTCAGCCCCTGGTCCGCCCGTGACTGGCCTTCTGGAGCCTGCTTGGCTTTCTCAATCTAGAAAGAGTCCAGCAGAGGAATTATGGCTTCTCAGCACGGTCCTTTCACACACTCTCCCCTGGGGACATTCCTGGGGCTGGCCCTGGAGCCTCGTGTCTAGACCTTTCCATGGCAGGGTGGAAAAGCCACAGGTTTAGAGCCAGGAATGGGCAATAGTCCCTGTTCTCTTTGAGCTTGTCAGAGACCAAATAACAAACTGTCACTTCCCACCTCAAAACCCTCCCCTGGCTCCCCAGTGCCCGTTGGATAAAATCCAGCTCTTCACCATGGCCTGCATTGTTCCTTGGGACTTCCCAGACCACGTCTCCTGCTGACACTTTGTCACACTCTCCTCTGGACATGCTGGCCTCATTTTGTCCTCTAACCACTTCCAGCATGCTGTTGGCCGCAGGGCCTTTGCACATGCTGCCTGCTCAGCCTGGAGCATGCTTCCTCTGGCCTTTCATGTGGTGCCCATCCAATCTCGGCTCTAGGTTGTCCTCCAGATAAGGCCTTCCCCAGCCACCCAGTGCAGTGGCCCTAGTCCCTCCTTGTCAGATTTCATTACTCTCCTCAGAGGCACGTAACTGTCGAGTTATCGCAGATGTTTGCTTGTTTGCTGTTTATCTCTCCCCCGGGTGGAGATGAAGCTCTTTTGGTAGCTTTTCTTCCTTGATTGTTGGGTCCCCGGCACATAGGAGCCTTCCCAGCCCCACCACCAGTTAGCTGACCCATCCTCATTGTCCCAGCAGCGCGTGGGAGGACAGAACATGGGCCAGGTGTGGACTCCTAACTTGTGGTCGCCCTCCTAGCGCACCTTGCCGCCACTCCCATCTGGGGCCGCTAGTCACTTCCAGGTTCCCCCGTCCAAAACCAAGCTCTCACTGTTCACTCTCAACCCACTCGGCACCCCTTGGGGTCCCCTGCTAAAAATCTCCCACACACAGTGCCTGGCTGGCTCAGTTGGTGGAGTGTGTGGCTCTTGATCCTGGGGATGAGTTCGAGCCCCATGTTGGGTGTAGATACTACTTAAATAAGATACTTTAAAAAACTTTTTAAAAAATCTCTGAGGTGCTTTAGGGTCCCTCTTTCTTGAGCCCCACATCTAGCCCACCCACAGACCGTGGCAGCCCTGCTCTAGAGGCACATCTGGAACACAGGTGCCTTTTGCTGTCACTGACACTAGCCCTGAGGCCCCATCGTGTCATTTGCCAGGATTTTTGTGAAAACCTCACTGATCTCCCGGGTCCAGCCTGTTCTCCCTTAAGTAGCCACAGTGACCCTCTAACAAAAACCTCTGTTGGGTCAGGCCGGTCCTCTGTCCCTGAGCGCTGGGTGGGGGCTGAGCACCATCCCTGGCCCCGCCCCCTCGAAGCCAGGAGCACCTTTGCTCGCAGTCATGACAGCTACAGATGCCCCCAGACATGGCCCAGCGTCCCAGGGGCCTGATCATCCCCGTCTACACCTCACTGGATTGGACCAGTGGTCTTCAAACCGTGGCTCAGCAGAGAGCCCGGGGCCCTGATTGAACACACAGTGGTGAGGGCACATCCCGGGGATCCCGACTGAGGCAGGATGCCCGGGCTCCTCACTGCACATGTAAGTGAGGCCGATGTATCCGAACACCTTAAACCTGTGACCTTGGGAACCGGGAGGTGCTCAGAGCTGGGGGTCCCTCACCATCTGCATGCAGCCCAGCACCGCCCCCGCCCCCCAGCATGAGTGGCAGCTGTCAGCGGTGCGGCCAGATCCCCGGCCACAGTCACAGTCGGTGCACGTGGCTGGGGGAGCCTGGGGAGCTATTTTGAAGAAGGGGCCGTGGGGAGGGGGAGGCTCTTACCAGCTCGAAGGACTCCTCCAGCTGGGCCAGCGCAGCCCGGGCCTGGAACTGGCCGTGCTGCAGGTGGCTCAGGCCGTGCTCAAACGCCCGCTGCCGGAAGCGGGGAGCCAGGTCGCCCAGACGCACGAAGTAGCTGCCGCGGTCAGCCGTGAGCACCTTTGGCCCAGGTTCGGAGGCAGCAAGCTGAGCTGGAAAGGAAGACGGGATTCCTCAATCCGAGAGGTCCCCGGAGAATCCAGGGCTTGGGTTTTACAGAAATCCAGCCCCGCTGGGAGGTGGGCCCAGCTGCGCTGTTCTCACCTTGCTCCCCGGCATCCATGGGGCAGAAGATCTCCCCCAGCTCCCCCAGCTCGTCCCGCAGAGTCACGAAGCTCATGGCTCCTTCATGTCCTGCATTCTCCCTGCCCAGGGGGGCCCCGTGGGTGCCTGTTGCCACAGCAGTGGCTTCCCTGGCAAGGTCCAGGCTTGCGCAGAGAGTGTCCGGGGCACTGGAGAACCCAGAGGACAGAGCCTCCTGGGGTCTCAGGATGGCCTGTTCCCTGCCATTGCCTGGGGCTCTGTAACTGGTGAGTCCACTCCAGACACTGTCCTGGGTACCGGGTAACCAATTCTGGACGGTTTGCACTGCCTCTTTGGCCACACTCCCTGCACCGGTGAGCCCAGTGGACACTGCATCTTTGGTGCCAGTCAGGATGGCCTTTGATGTGTCCATGCCAGTGTGGGCAGCTCCTTTGGCGACATTCATGGCACCAGTCACACCACTGCACACGGTGTCCTTGGTGCCCGTCAGGACAGTCTTGGTGGTGTCCAGGCCAGTCTGGACAGTGCCCTTGGCCATGTTGACTGCCCCAGTGAGCCCAGTGGACACTGTATCCTTGGTGCCAGTCACAACGGTCTTGGTGGTGTCCAGGCCAGTCTGGACGGTGCCCTTGGCCATGTTGACTGCCCCAGTGAGCCCAGTGGACACTGCATCTTTGGTGCCCGTGAGGACAGTCTTGGTGGTGTCCATGCCAGTCTGGACAGCTCCTTTGGCCACATTCATGGCACCGGTCACCCCGCTGCACACAGTGTCCTTGGTGCCCGTGAGGACAGTCTTGGTGGTGTTCAGACCAGTCTGGACAGTGCCCTTGGCCACACCCACTGCACCTGTGAGCCCTGTGGACACAGTGTCTTTGGTGCCAGTCAGGATGGCCTTTGATGTGTCCATGCCAGTCTGGACAGCTCCTTTGACCACGTTCATGGCACCGGTCACCCCACTGCACATGGTGTCCTTGGTGCCTGTGACAATGTTTTGGGTTGTACTGAGCCCAGTTTGCAGGGTTTCCTTGGCCGTGTTTGCTGCCCCTGTCACCCCAGTGGACACTGCATCTTTGGTGCCCATGAGGACAGTCTTTGAGGTGTCCAGACCTCCTTGGACAGCTCCTTTGGCCACATTCACGGCACCGGTCATCCCACTGCA